GATCCGGATGGAAATCATATTTTGCTAGACTTTAGTGGAAAGGATAAAGATGTGGCTATGGATAACATAGCAATAGAAACAAATTCACAAGATGATGACAATGGAGTTGGTGATTACTCCCACTTTGAAACAGATTTAGAGGAGGAGGTTGAAGAAACTCCATTCCTGAAAGAGCAAGCCTCATTATCAGAAGAAGAGGCTAGCAAAACTGGCAAAAATACTATGGACAACATGGACTTTGAGACAGAGAAGGTTTTAACTCAGGATCAAAAGCTGATTTCTGATGTGAACAATCTCTCTCCGAGGGAATTAGATGGTAATCAAAATACGTGGTCTAATACCCAGAAGACTAAATTTACAAAGAAGTCAAACAAAGTTCTTTCTCCAATTATTTCCGCCGATTAATACACTATCTTGGAATATTAGGAGTATAAGAACTCAAAGTGCTTTTGAGCGACTCAAAACTCTCAAGCTTCAATATAATATATCCCTCATTTGTTTGCAAGAACCTAAGGTGAAAGGGATAAAAATGAATCAATACATAAATCAACTTGATATGAACCACTGTTACTCTAATGTCAATAATAAAATTTGGATTTTTTGGTCCAAATATTTAGATGTTAACATAGTTAATGATACTTATCAAATTGTCTCCTGTAAGGTCCACCATATCATCTCTAATATAGACTTTCACTTTTCCACGGTGTATGCTAAATGTAGATCTAACTTGAGAAAAGAATTATGGGCTAACTTGGTTAACTTTTCTGTTTCTCTTAAGGGACCATGGGCTATTATAGGTGACTTTAATGTCATCTCTGATCCTGAGGAAAAAATTGGAGGAGATCCTTATAGAATAGACAAAAGTTTTGATTTTTTAGAATGTTTAACAAAATGTGATTTGCAGGATGCATGTTTTTTGGGGAATATTGTTACATGGTGCAACAACAGAGGAACTCCTGATACTGTTTGGAAAAGATTGAATAGGATGGTGTACAACTCTGAGTGGTTTAGCCTGTTTGGTAGAACTACTGTTGCACATTTGGCCAGTGCTTGCTCAGATCATGTGCCACTCTTAGCTCAATTCTGCCATACAGATGAGACATATGTTAAATACTTCAAATTTCTCAATTTCTGGACTGAGCATGTGTATTTTCTTGATGTGGTTAAAAGCACATGGGAAGAAGAATGCCAAGGCAATCCTTTATGAATCCTTCATCAGAAGTTGAAGAAGACGGCCTCGAGACTTAGTTCTTCGTCTAGGGAGGCTTATGGAGATTTCCATGAAGAATCTAAAAGATTGGAATTGAAAATCTCCAATCTTGAACTTCTTACCATAAATAATAACAGTGATGTTAATAGAACCAACTTGAGCAAAATCAGGGCAGAGTACATCAGATATCTCAAGATCCTGGATTCTAATTTAAGATAAAAAGCTAGAGTTAAATGGCTAACTGATGGCGATTCTAACACTGCCTACTTCCACAATGTCATCAAAGATAAGAGAAGGAGATTGAGCATTAACAAGATCCAGAATGAATTTTTTCAATGGGTGGAAGGGACTAAGGAGGTCTCAGAAGCTGCAGTGAGATATTTTCAGGGACTCTTCTCCCAAAAACATGAGCAAAATGATTTCTCTGATTTGAATATTATAGAACCGACTATTTCAGATGATGTTAATAAGTTGATTGCATTGCCTACTGAGGAGGAATTGAAATCCTGTATCCTTTCAATGGATCCAGATAGTTCACCTGGCCCCGATGGCTTTACTGCAAAAATTTTTCAAACATGTTGGTCCATTGTTGCTTCTGATATTGTTCAATCATTTATTTCTATTTTTTGTGGAGTAGAACTTCGTAGGTGGTTTACACATACATGCATAGTCATGCTTCCCAAAGTCCCCTCCCCCCAACATTTTAATGACATAAGACCTATTAGCCTGTGCAATATTATTAGTAAACTCGTTGCTAAGTTACATAATTCCAGATTGAGCATTATTTTACCTGATTTGATTAGATGGAATCAAAGTGGCTTTGTAAAAGGTAGAGCCATTATAGAAAATATTTTACTTGCACAAGAAATAATTCAAGATATTGGAAAACCAAATGAGAAAGGAAATGTTATATTGAAACTGGATATGGCCAGAGCATATAATAGGGTGTCATGGTCATATCTATGTGTTCTTATGCGGCTACTTGGCTTTTGTGAGACTTGGATTGATATTATTTTTATACATATCTCTATTAACTGGTATTCTTTACTTGTTAATGGCTCTAGACAAGCTTTTTTCAAATCTGAAAGAGGTCTAAGACAAGGAGATCCTATCTCTCCTTCTCTCTTTGTCATATGTGTGAATATCTTTCCAGAAAATTAAATCTTATTACTTCTCTTGATGATTTTAAAGGTTTTCATATGAATAAGAATGGACCCTTAATTAATCAACTTGCCTTTGCAGATGATATCATTCTTTTTTCTAGTTTATGCAGGAAATCGTTGGTTCTTTTGATGGAGGCTCTTACTGGATACGAGAAAATCTCAGGAAAATTGGTCAATAAGCAAAAGTTATGTGTTATCCTTGCTCCCAACACACCACCAGATGAGATCTCAAGGGTGGAAGGGATCACTCAGATGGAGCACAAAGTCCTACCTATCAAATACTTGGGATGTCCGCTATATGTTGGGAGGAAAAAGATTTCCATATTCTCTGAAATGATAACCAAAGTTATCAACAAAATCTCAGGGTGGAATTCAAAATTTCTCTCCACTGGTGGTAGGGCAGTTTTAATCAGACATGTGTTGATGGCAGTACCAACTCATCTTCTTGCCGCAATCCATCCCCCAAAAGGTGTTCTTAACCAGATAGAAAGAGTGCTGAACAGATTTTTTTGGGGAGGTTCAGCAAAAAAGAAAAGATATCACTGGGCTTCGTGGGATAATCTTTGTTTTCCGTATGAAGAGGGAGGTACTAATTTCAGAAAATTCAGGATATTTGTAATGCGTTCACAGCAAAACGATCGTGGAACTTTAGAACAGGCCAGTCCTTGTGGAAGAGTTTTCTTATGGCCAAATATTGTCAGAGAATCCATCCTTTGGTCAAGCGATGGTACTCTGGACAATCTCAGTCGTGGAATGCTATGTGCAAGATCAAAAAGATTGTTGACAAACAAATTCTATGGAAATTGAAAGAGGTGATGTATCCTTTTGGTTTGATAACTGGTCAGAGTTGGGTTCCTTATGTAACTTCTTACCTCTGAACTATAAACCTAAGAATGTGAAGCTTTCTGATATTTTTTTGAACAACCAAATTAATTGGGAAGGTTTGGATCTTCTGCTTCCTCAACATGTTGTGGATAAAGTTAATTACTTGCAGATTAGTTTGAATCCTGCGACTCCTAATGATCCAAAATGGATAGTTAACAACAACGAAACCTTTTCCGTGGTCTCAGCCTGGCAGTTATTTAGGAAAAAGAAACAGAAATCTTGGGTGAATATTATTAATTGGCAAAAAGGTGTTCCCTTCAAGATGAACTTTATTGTTTGGAGGGCCTTGAGGGACAATATTCCTACTGATACAAGAGTGACCAGGTTGGGATACTCTTTATCTCCCAGATGTTGTTGTTGTGGTTCTCTAGGAGTAGAAACTGTGGATCATTTGTTTTGCAATGATGGAAAATTTTATGTGGACCTATGGGCATTGCATTCTCAGACATTCCATATAGACAATTAATGGTGAATTGGTGGAGGTGCAAGGTTAAAAATCCAGTCCATACATTCATTGTTAGATGTCTGCCTATTATTGCCTCTTCGAAAATTTGGAGAGCAAGGTGCAAGGCCAAATATGACAATGTTAGAGCAAAAGTGAGGAGGTCCCTTTCTTTAGTACTTTTCTTCGTAACTCAACTTGTTAATAGTCAATTCCAGCAGTTTCAATTGTCTCCTAACCGGGATGACTTTAGCAAGCTTATGAGAAGCACAATTCTCTTTGAAAAGTCCATTATTGTTAAATGGACCAGGCCTACTCCTCAATTTGTCAAACTAAATTCCGACGGCAGCTGTAACGCAGGTAATTGTGGTGGTGGAGGTGTGATCAGAGACAAAGATGGCTGCCTTATTTTTGCATACTCCCTACCTCTCGGCACTGGTAGCAGTAACTGGGCAGAGGCCTCTGCTCTGCATTATGGCATTAAATGGTGCTTGTCAAACGGGTTGCAATATATTACTGCTGAAAGTGATTCAAAGTTGCATGTAGAGTGCGTAAATGGTCGATATGCAACTCCTTGGAGGATCCCAAACGAAGTAGAGGAGCTTAAAGAATTCATGGTTCAGTCAAGGCTCACCCTTAAACACTGCTACAGAGAGTAATCAAGTTGCCGATAAGCTCGCCAGTCTCACTCATGTCCTCACTCACGCTCAAGTGTTTCATGATTTTGCTGATCTACCACCTCAAGTGAAAGGTTTGATGAATATGGATAGGTGGAATATGCCTGTTCTTCGAAGGTCCAAATTGAAGAAATCAAACATAGCCTTTGAACCACCATGATCATCATTTTTTGTACATGTGTAGGGGTAGTAACAATAAGAGGACCTTATTGTATAGGTTGGAGTCCTCATTTTCTTTTAAATGCATTTACCTCATCTCAAAATGTTATAAGATAGTTGATTCTATCTTACAAGATGAACTAGGGAGGAGATATCATATTTTGACTCCCTCAGCTCAGTGTACCTTTTTTTGGAGATGAATAAAATGCTCAGTTTCTATTAAAAAAAACTATGGAACGAACACCCTTGAACATTTAGAAATTATTTCAAATGGACTAACGGAGAAAAGCATAAGCAAAAAAAGTTGTTTTTTTCCTTCATTTTTAATGAAAAATATTTTTCAAAAAAAAAAGATAGTTTTTATTTTTCAGTTATCAAAAAATTACTTAAGTTTTTAAAAGAAAATGCTGAAATTTTTTTCTTGTTACGAGACATACCCATAACGACCCTTGACAACATGTTGTTCAACTATTTGACAGACCAATTGCTAGCTGGTCACTTAGCTCTTGCTCAAAAACTGTCATATTTTTCTCCTTTAAGTCCACCCATGCATATATTCCACCACCATCTGTTGAATCCATCAGTAGAATATAATTCTGGACAGGCAGTTCAATAGGACTAATAAAGGTTTGCCTCAACCAAAATCAATATCATAAAATTTGTAGCCACAGCAACTATTAATGTATAAGTCTATCTCCCCTCCTACAAATGCAAGTCCTAGTTCCAAGCTGTCTTGGGGAATGGCCAAGATTGACTCATCTTGTCTCGATTTATCCACATATTTAGAACTCAATTCTGAAATTCCTTCTCTAATACAAGAAACAAGGGTGGATAACTCATTACCATCGTTCTCACCTTTGTATGCTGTGGTCATTGCAACAATGTCTCTCATACAGTGATTAGGCAAGGGGGGAGGGGGTGGGGGGACAAGCTGCTTTCGTATATTGACGTTGTACAACAAGTACGACGATGTTCTTGTTTTTGTTGATGTTGTCATGAAACACTTCCACATCACGGCGGACACGACTTCGACGCGTGTGGGCTTTGACACAGTGTCGCTCATGACATTAGCCTTGAGAAACGCTATAGTAGATGCATCAAAGGAAAAAAATTTAGTTGGTTGATTATCAAAATGTTACGACCCAAATTTTTCTCCGCAGGATGTCGTGACGGCACCTAGTCTCTAAGACTAGGTAAGCCTAACAAATATGCGGAATAACTGAAATAATGACTAAAATCTCAGACATCAACAGATATATATATATATATATGAAAACTGTCGCTCAACATGTACAAATCCCAAAACTCGGTGAAATACAAGTCACGAGCTCTAGATATAGTGTGGAACACTCCTATACATCACCGTACATAAGATAAAAAGAAATAAGAAAAAGGAACAGGAAAGAAGGAGACTCCGAGGCCTGCGGATGTCGGCAGGTGTATCTTAAAGTCTCCAAGCAGCAGCACAACACTCTAATATCGAGGCTAGCAGGATGTACATAGGTCTGCACAAAAATATGTGCAGAAGCAAAATATGAGTATACCACAACGGTACCCAGTAAGTGCCAAGCCTAACCTCAGTAGAGTAGTGACGACGTCAGGTCAGGGCCCTACTGGAATATAAGAGATAAGGCGGAAGATATATGGTATAATAAAATAACAGGGAAATGAAACAATAAGAATGTACGGAAATTAACAGCATGGAAATCAAGGAAGACAAATACAATACGTAAGGAAGCAAGAATCTTACAAGTTAAGAAACAACAACAATAACAAACAATACAACAAATAGAGAAAATCAGCAGGGGCACTCTCGAGGTACCGCCTCGTAGTCCTAAAATAAATATCTCACAGTATTTCCTTATAATAACAACCGCACAGTAGAAACCTCGTGCCAACATAACAATCCGCACGGCAGAAACCTCGTGCCACAATAACAATCCGCACGACAAAAACCTCGTGTCACAACCAAACAATCATCTCAACAATAATCACGAAAATCCAAAACATAACAAATGAACAATGTATTTCAAGCAAGGAGTCCCACAATTAAATAATGAATACGGAATCAAGGGAGTAGGTAATTCAACTAAGCATGTTGAACAAATTGCTAATGAGAGATAAAACACGTAGACATGTGAAATTAGGCTAAACATAATGACCACACATGCTGGAGTAACTCAATTAAGGAAACAAAAGAAAACTACTTAGCAGAAACCGGTTTTCAACACCTAGCCCGTGTACGCACTCGCCACCTTACGTACACGGCCTTCACATGTAATAAATTACCATAACAATACCAAATCCTAAGGAGAATTTCTCCCACACAAGGTTAGACAAGTCATTTACCTCAAATCACGCTTAATCAGTTAATAAGAAGGCCTTTCCATCGATTTTCTGACTCCGAACGACTCAAATTAGCCAACGAGAATTACATACTATGAATATCACTATAGGAAACTAACCTAAATAATGAAATTATGACTTTAATAATCGCCCCAAAAAGTCAACCCGGGCCCATGTCTCGGAACCTGACCAAAATTACAACAACTGAACACCCATTCGATATCGAGTCCAACCATACAAGAATTATCCAAATCCAACTTCATTTGGCCTTTCAAAATTCAAAAATTTGGTCTAAGAACTTTACACCCCCCCTCAATTTCTCAACCCAAATCCTTAATTAAATAAAGAAATTAATGATAGAGTAGTGGGATTTAAGCAAAAACGAGTCAAGAATCCTTACCCAAATGTTTCCTCTGAAAATTCCGCAAAATCTCGCCTCAATCCGAGCTCTTTAGGTCCAAAAATGGATAATGAAATCAAACCCTCAAACTTAGGCCTTTTCTGCCCAGCAATTTTGTATCTGCGAACCCACAGCCGTATTTGCGGCTCCGCACTTGCGGAATTTCCATCGCAGGTGCGGTTCTCACTTAGCCTAGCAAACGCTGCTTCTGCGGACCAAAATGCGCATCTATGCTCTCGCTCCTGCGGAAGGGGCTCCGCTTCTGCGACCCCGCGCTTGGCTAGCATTTCCGCTTCTGTGCTTCCACAATCGCCCCAACGAGTCCGCTTCTGCGAAACTCTGACCGCATCTGCGCTCCCACCTGGGCATGCCACAATTCACTTTTGCGATCAACCCCCCGCATTTGCGAATCCGCACCTGTGGCCAATTCCTCTGCAGGTGCGATGACACCAGAAGGCTGGAACTTCAACAATGAGATTAAGTCCAAATTGTTTCAGTTTTGATCTGAATCACACCCGGGGTCCCCGGGACCCCGTCCAAATATACCAACAAGTCCTAAATCATCATACAAACTGAGTCGAGCCTTCAAATCACACCAAACAACGCTAAAATCAAGAATTGCGCATCAATTCAAGCCTAATAAACTTTTGATCTTCTAGCTTCTACATCCGATGCCTAAACCTATCAAATCAAGTCCGATTGACCCCAAATTTTGCACACAAGTCATATTTGACATTACGGACCTACTCCAACTTCCGAAATCGGAATCCGACCCCGATATCAAAAACTTCACTCCCGGTCAAACTTTCCAAAAATCTTTCTACTTTCCAACTTTCGCCAAGTAATGCCGAAATGACCTACGGACCTCCAAATCAATATCCGGACACGCTCCTGGAACCGACGAAACTCCATTCCGGGGTCATCTTCACACAAGTCAACCTATGGTTAACTCTTACAACTTAGACTTCAAACTTAGGGACTATGTGTTCCTTCCACTCCGAAACTCTCCCGAACATGACACTAAGCGCCCCAGCAAGTCAAGTAACCACAAAATGAAACAGAGGGAGAAATAAATAGGGGATCAGGGATAATACATTCAAAATGACTGGCCCGGTCATTACATCTTCCCACTTTTAAAACAAACGTTCGTCCTCGAACGAGTGTAGATACATACCTAAAGTGGTGAAAAAATGAGGGTAACGGCTGCACATATCATGCTCGGTCTCCTAAGTCGCCTCCTCGACTGGCTGACCCCTCCACTGAACCTTCACTGAAGCAATGTTCTTCGACCTCAACTTTCGAACCTGACTGTCCAAATGGCCACCGGCTCCTCAACATAAGACAAATACTTGTCCAAATGGACTGAGCTGAAATCTAACACAACGGATCGTCGTGATACTTCCGGAGCATAAAAACATGGAATACTGGATGAATTGCAGCTAGACTAGGTGGTAGTGCAAGTTTGTAAACCACCTCTCCAACCCTCTCTAGAATCTCAAAAGGCCCGATATACCTAGGACTCAATTTTCCCTTCTTCCCGAACCTCATAACACCCTTCATGGACGAAACCCGGAGCAAGACCCGCTCCCTAACCATGAATGCGACGTCGCGAACCTTCTGATCCGTGTTGATACCCAATTTTTCCCTATATTTATAAATATCCAAAATACCCTGAAAATAGCCTATATAGGCATATATGAGTACATCCCAAGGATTTATTATTTTTCCTTAATTTTTCAAAGATGTTTAAACAAATTTACTGCCCTATTTTATCAAGAAAAACCAATAATTGTCACCAAAATTATCATTTTGGTGATTCATTGTTGGATTTTCATGTTTATACTAAAATATAGCTAAGATATTTTTCACACATTTTTACAAATTTATTTGGTATTTTTAAGGACAAAATTGCATAATTGCAATATTAGCCATTTTTTAGGTTTAAATTCGTCTCATATTTATAAAATGGGATTTTATACTTTTAAATTGATAATTATACACTATAAATTATTTTAGTACTTTTAATTAGTTTTCAGAAATTTATTTACTTTTTTTATAAATTAAATGGGGAAAAAGGGGCTATTTAACTTATAGCCAGATTTTGTCTCCTAATTTAGCCTAATTAAACCCAATACCCCAACCCAATTAAACCAGCCCAATAGACCCAAGCCCAATTCCAGATCTACCCGACCTAATCTGATTGAATCTTGGCCGTTGATCAATTTTGATCAACGGTCCGGATGCTTTCTTTCCAAATTAAACCAAACGACCCCCCCAAACCCCTCTCATTCCTCACTCAACCAACCCTCTCCTCTATCTCTTTATCTCTGGTTCTCTCTAGAACCTTCCCCCTCCCTTTCAGCTCCGATGAGTCTCACTCACCTTCTCCGGCCACCTCCTGGCCTGAATCTATGGTGGTCTCACCACCTACCGGCCCTCTAGGGTTCCTACACACCTGTTTGCTGAGGTTTCATGGTCTGAATACGAAGAGCTTCATCCAGACCTTGTTGGTTCAAGTTGTTATGGCCATCTCCGGCCTTGCTCCGGCAAGCCATGCTTGTTTCGAGCCTGGTTTCGGCCCCTCCTATTTAGATCAACAGCTATCCTAGCCTTTCTCACCGTTTGGGTTCCCCTGAAACCCTTGCTTTTGAGGCTCTTCTATTTTTCTTTAGATCTGTTCTAGATCCGTGTTTTCCCTAAACTTTTAAACGATCTATTGGTATTTCTTTCAAAAGTTATGCTTTCAAAACCTTTATATTTTTGCGATTTAGGGTTTTTCTTTTTGAGTTATTTAGATGTTTTTCAACTGAGTTTTTTATATGTTCCTCTACTATGTTCTTTATATGTTTCTTTTGAGTTCTTTATATGTTTCTCTACTGTGTTCTTGTTAAGTTTCTGTTACCATGTTCTTTGTGTGCTTCTTTTACTGTGTTCTTAATAAGTTTCCTCCTACCATGTTCTTTGTGTGTTTCTCCTGTTGTGTCCTGATTGGTTTTCTTCTACTATGTTTCCTATCAGCCTCTTCCACTATGTTTCTTTGAGTTTTTTTTTCTGTGTCTCGCATGTTGTTCTTGTACTACGCTTCTCATGAGTTTCTGCTACTGAAAGAACGTGTTAAAGGTCTCAGTTCCTTTTTGAAACCTTTGAGCCAGTTTTGATTAGTACCCTTTTTCTTGATTGCTTGTCCTCTCATCTTTGTTCTTGATTGATGGTGGAAACCCTAGAATTTGAGGGTTCTTCCGAGTTGTGAAACCATTGGCTATGTGATCTGCTCGAATTGGTTTTATTTCAAAAAAAAATCTAACTCTTTTAGACCTATTTCGAGTTTCAGAACTGAGCTTTGAAATCTCTGTCTCTTTAAGCAATCCTAATTCTCTACTAAACTCTTCTAAGGTCCTTATACTGGACCCTTTGTATGCTATTTGATACTATCTCTTCTACATTACTGACCTATGTGACTACCTACTGATTTTGCAATAGCATGACATTTTTCTTTGCCTAGCATGTTTGTGTACTCTTTATACGTGCTGAGCTTCCCTCTAAAAATGGCTTTCAATTTTGATTGATTCAAGACTTCCTTGTGTAAGTTTGATTGATTTCTTTCCTTGTTTTCTGATTTCCCCTGTTACTCGATTTGAGTGAAAAACTTTCCTTAGCCTATTCATGAGCAAGTAATTTCAAACCTCTAACCCTTGATTTACTGAATACTGATGGATCCTTACCTTATTTGTTTTAACCGTGTATTTCTAAATTCTTCCCTTAATTAAAACCCCTATGTATTTACCCCTAATTGCCTAATTTGCACAAGATTTTTATTTAATTTCTTGTCTTAAATAGTTTTACCGTTTGAGTCTGAATTCCTTAATTAAAGGAAGTCTTGTATTGATTGATTTTTTTAATTGATATTCAGTTCCTTAATTGTTTTCTACCTTGTTTCTGCCTGTTCTTCACACTATAAATGCACGACCCTTTCATTGACACACACACACAATCACTGATAGTCTTTCTGAACCTATACTTATACTCAAAAGTATTCTCTCTTGTTTGCTTATACTGTGGCCTATTACAAGACCTATTGCTTGTTTTCTCTCTATTTGTTTCCTTGAAACTAGTATGTCCTGATTTAAGTTTCAGCACCACAACAATGTGTTTATTTACTGCTTTTGTATCCCTGTTTGCTGCTTATGTATAGTTCAACGGTCATTCTAGATTATTAATTTCTTTCTGCCTGTTCTATTATGAATCCCAAACCCCTGCCCCCTATGTGTTTAAGGTATGGTTTGAGGCATGGCAATATGCAAGTTATTGTCCGTGAATTGAACTTGATCCCCTGGGGATCTTAGCCTCTAACAGTATGTATTCTGGCAGGCTTATAGGTGTGCTAGCACTCCCCATTGCTGGGCATGCCTAAAGTCTGCCTTTGCCTAAGTGACAGGCTCTTTACAATCCCCTATTCCCTGAATCCCCTTGTGTGTGCTTATCTGTAGTTGATTCCCTCTTCCATTTCCCTTTTAGCATTCTGATCTGCACTTGCACACATTCTCAGTCTTTAAGTTCTGCCCCCCTCTTGTGAGCCTTGCCTTGGGACCCTTTGAGTTCCCTCTGAACTTGGACACTTGAGGGCTGGCCTTTCCACACTGCACTCATCCCCTAATCTGGCAATACATTTGGGTGTGAGCATTGCCCGGAGTCCCTTTGAGGCTCTTAGGGAACTTTGACTCACTCAAATGGGAGAGAGGCTTTGGATCGTGATCTCATGGAGTTGGTTTACCTCATATTTCAGACATGAAGTCTGAATCAGGCTTGCCTTGGTTGTACTTTTATATATGTTTTTTCTGATGTATTTTTTACTTTAATCTGGGCTGTAATAATTTGTAATAAACTCTTGGGGATGTCTTGTGAAAAGGGCGGGTAGCTATGTATGCAAACATGGTAGATACCATGCCCATAGGAATTTTGAATTCTGCATATGCACATAGAAATCATGGTATTAAATTCTGTATATCCATCTGCATTTAGAAATCATGCTCATAGGTTTCAAATAATTTCTGCACTTAGATATCATGTTCATAGGCTTTCAAATAATTTCTGCACTTAGAAATCATGTTCATAGGTTTTCCAACAATTTCTTCACTTAGATATCATGTTCATAGGTTTTAAAGCAATTCCTACACTTCGATACCATGTTCATAGGCCTTAAACAAAATACAGCACCTAGATATCATGTTCCTGAGTCTTAAAACAAGTTTACTGCATTTTATACCATGTTTAAAAATCAACTACGCGTAGAAAGCTTGCCTATATGAACGCCTAATCGAATCTGAATCGCTTCATTCACATATGGGACTAAAATCAGTAACAACGGGTACTGTTAGCTGTTAGCTTATAATCTTCGTAAAAACTAGCCTTTCTTTTAACAAAATCTGACTCCTCTGGTAATCAGTATGTGTCCAATTTACTTTAAACCCTGTTATTTCGTTGCTTTCTGAATTCAATAGATACTATGCCTATAGGATCCTTGTCCAACACATAGGCAAGCCTTAGGGTAAAGCTATAAATTAAATCAGTTCTGTTAATAAATACAACCAGCTGGCAGGCCTGATTCGGGCATCTTATCTAAATTGTGTAATAAATCAGTCTGCCTCAACCTTTAAGCTCTTGCATGTTCAGTACTTAATCAGACCTCAACTAGTATGTGTAAGTCAAGCTAATTACGTATTTCTTTGTTCAGGGAGGCATGTCTGAGCCTCTGCTTGTTATGTGCTTTCCCCCAATTTGCTATACATGTTTTGTATGTCGCCTTAGAATTTTTTCCTTTGAAACCATAATTAAGCCCAACATTCCTTCCCTTTAGGATTAGTAGTCCTCATGCCTCCAGGACTGATGGATTGGGACGGGTAGTAGCATGCAATGGGTAAACGAGACCATTCCGCGTTTTATTACCTCAACGGGGTGGAAGGGTAGATATGGATATGATGACCACGCGATAATGTCACGTGTAGCCCCTCATTGAGGAGTGATTACCTGGCATTGTGTGGGGTGATCCATATTATTAGTAAGCCTAGGACCCCTTTCCCTTATTTCTTATCTCTTTTAAAAGAATTTCGAACTCTTTCTTTTTTTTTTAAAAAAAAAAATCAGTTTTCTTTAGTTCTTTCTAACCTTGTTTATTTGTGAACTATAATGTGAAAATCCCCTCTTATTTGAAGCTTTATTTGTCTACGTGTTATTTGCATCTGAATTCACAATAATAGTCTGGCCGGGAACCACACTAGTGGATTCTGAGGGGTGCCTAACACCTTCCCCTTAGAATAATTTCAAGCCCTTACCCAATCTCTGGTTACTCAAATCAAACCTCCTTGGTGTCCTAATGCACCCTAATCATTAGGTGGCGACTCTTTAAGTCAAACCCAATTCCCTAAAGGAATGAGTTGTCCTCCCAAATGTCATAAACCCGATTTCGCCAGAATAAGGGGGCGCGACAATCCGCATAACTTTTCTGCCTGGATCGGGCTGTATGAAGTCGATCCTGAATCAATTTAACCTTTTCCAAAGCATCCTGAACCAAGTCTGTACTGAATAGCCTCGCCTTGCCCGGCTCAGACCAACCTACTGGAGACCGACACCATCTACCATATAAAACCTCATACGGGCCATCTGAATGCTCGACTGGTAGCTGTTATTGTAGGCAAACTTTGCAAGTTGCAAGAACTTATCCGAAGAACCGCCGAACTACATCGCACATACACAGAGCATATCATCCAATATCTGAATAGTGCGCTCGGACTGCCCGTCCGTCTAAGGGTGAAGTGCTGTGCTCAACTCAACCCGAGTACCTAACACATGTTGTACGACTCTCTAGAACCAAAATGTAAACTGTGTATTCCGATCAGAGATGATAGATACCGGCACGCCATGAAGCCTGACTATCTCGCGGATATAAACTCGAGCTAGCTTCTTAGAAGAATAAGTAGTCACCACTGAAATGAAATGAGCCGACTTAGTCAACCTATCCACAATCACCTAAACTGCATCAAACTTCCTCTGAGTCCGTGGGAGCCAACAACAAAATCCATGGTGATCCGCTCCCATTTCCACTCCGGAATCTCTAGCTTCTAAAGCAATCCACCTGGCCACTTGTCGCGCCCCCTTTTTCTTACGAAATCAGGTTTATGACATTTTGGTTGAGACAACTTGTTCCTTTTGGGAAAGGGCTTTGCATTTTGAAGAGTCGCCACCTAACGATTTAAGGTGCGTTATGGCACCTAAAGGGTTCATTTATAACTACGTTTGGTAACCAGAGACAGGGTAAGGGCTTGAAATTATCCTAAGGGGAATGTGTTAGGCACCCCTCAGGATCCACCAGTGTGGTTCCCAATCAAATAGCTTTTGTGGATTTGTACAATTTAGCAAATAAACAAGTATGGCTCAAATAATAGGGGATTTAAGTTTAAGTACACAGATGTTCGAAAAACAGTTAATGAAAAGCTAGATTTTGAAAAGAATTATAATCTAAGCATATTTGTAAATGTAAAGGGGTATCCTAGGTTTGTTT